TTACAGAAAGTGATTTATTTAGGCAGAGAAAGAAAAAGAGGAGAGAGAAAAAACCTTCCACGAAGAGTGTGGAAGGGGACCCAAGTATGGAATCCAAAGGGATGTGGAAGAAGGGGACCTTTAACCCGGGAGGAACTCCCTCCCTCTCAAAGTCCCCTGGCCAATGAAAGGAATTCCTTTAAACTTCCACTAGAGTGACTGACTTCTGATTCCTTCTGAGCCCTCAAAAATTAAAACAGAAACTGTTAAACCTCTGGGATGGAGAGGCATGGGAGTGGGCAGGTACATGGCGCTGAGAAGTTCTTGTCCCTTGTGGACCCAGAAAGAAAAGAGAACCTTCCATTTCCATCCCCACTTCACATCACCTGATGGAGCTCCACTCGGAGCTCACAGCCTCAGCCCCAGACCAGAGCTTCAGACCCCAAAACGCAGGCTTAGCCCCACGATGACTGCATCCTAAAATACTGGAGTCAACTCTATTTACGAAACACTATTCTAACCAGATGCAGTGGCCCGTGCCTACAATCCCAGCACTTTGGGAGACCGAGGTGGGAGGATCACTTGAGGTCAGGAGTTGGAGACCAGCCTGTCCAACATGGTGAAATCTCGTCTCTTCTAAAAATGCAAAAAGGAGCCGGGCATGGTGGTGGGCACCTATAATCCCAGCTACTTGGGAGGGTGAGGCAGGAGAATTGCTTGAACCTGGGAGGCGGAGGTTTCGGTGAGCTGAGATCGCACCACTGCACTCCAACCTGGGCAACAGAAGATTCCAGGCTGGGCAACAGAGTAAGACCTCGTCTCAAAAAACAAAACAAAAAACTCCACTACTGAGACTGGACAGGGAAAACGTGGCACATATACACTATGGAATACTATGCAGCCATCAAAAACGATGAGTTCATGTCCTTTGTAGGGACATGAATGAACCTGGAAACCAACATTCACAGCAAACTGACACAAGAGCAGAAAATCAAACACCGCATGTTCTCACTCATAGGCGGGTGTTGAACAATGAGAACACATGGACACAGGGAGGGGAGCACTACACACTGGGGTCTGTCGGGGGGAAATAGGGAGGGACAGTGGGGGGTGGGGAGCTGGGGAGAGACAGCATGGGGAGAAATGCCAGATATAGGTGATGGGGAGGAAGGCAGCATATCACACTGCCATGTGTGTACCTATGCAACAATCTTGCATGTTCTTCACATGTACCCCAAAACATAAAATGCAATTAAAAAAAAAAAACCCACTACTGTTAGTGTCGAAATTCAACAAAGCTTCCATTTGGCTAAGTATATATATAGTCACTCAAGTACAGAGAGATCATTCAAAATTCCTTTTGACAAGAGTCTGGTTTCTGGCTGTGGTTCTAGACGTTGGTCATGGGGGAAGCAGCATCTGGGACAGAAAAATTCAGAAACACGTTGGTGGGAGGGACATCTGGACACACCCTAAGGCCGAAGAAGTCCTGGAGTGGTCCATGCCACATCCTGGAGAAGCAGGAGGGAAGAGGGTTCCTGGTCCTGAACTGTCCCCCTGGGCGCACTGGAAACTCAGGTGCATGAACTGCAGTTAGGGGGCAAGGGAACGAAGCTGATGCCAAGGGGAGGCCCAGGAGGAGGAAGGGGAGAGGCCCCTTTTCTGCCAAGAACATTCCTTAGTGAGGGACCATCGTGGCGGGGTAGTCTCTGCTGGTTGTCCCAGTTGAAAAAGCCACTGGCAATTAGAAGTTTTGCTCTAACAATTTTCTCTGTGTCCATGAATGCATCGCATGCATGAATGTGGCAAGCAATTCTCCTGCCTCAGCCTCCAGCAGCTGGGACTACAAGTGAGCACCACCCCTGGTTAATTGTTTGTATTTTTAGTAGAGACGGGGTTTCACCAGGTTAGCCAGGCTGGTCTTGAACTCCTGACCTCGTGATCCGTCCTCCTTGGCCTCCCAAAGTGCTGGGATGCATCTGCAGTGGAATGTTTCCATTTGTCTGGCTTTGGCCCCTCATATACTCTCTTGATGTGGTTACATTTCTCAAGAAGCTGGGAGGGTTCTGTTTGTTTGTTTTTTGTTTGATTTTTGAGATGGAGGTTTGCTCTTGTTGCCGAGGCTGGCATGCAGTGGCACAATCTCGGCTCACTGCAACCTCGGCCTCCTGGGTTCAAGCCATTCTCTTGCCTCAGCCTCCGGAGTAGCTGGGACTACAGGTGCTCACCACTATGCCTGGCTAATTTTTGGTTTTGATTTTTTGTTTTCTGAGATGGAGTCTCACTCTGTCGCCCAGGCTGGGGTGCAATGGCGCGATCTCGGCTCTCTACCTCCCACGTTCAAGCAATTCTCCTGCCTCAGCCTCCTGAGTAGCTGGGACTACAGGCACCCACTACCATGCCCAGCTAATTTTTGTATGTTTAGTGGAGACGGGGTTTCACCATGTTGCTAGGGCTGGTCTCGAACTCCTGACCTCTTGATCCTCCCACCTCAGCCTCCCAAAGTGCTGGGATTACAGGCGTGAGCCACTGTGCCCAGCATGAGTGAAAACTCTGCTCCAACACAACAGAACTATCTAGAAGCTGAAGACTGCTGCCTGTACCATCATCTCCCACGGAAGTCTGCAGCATCGAGGCCCTGGCTCAACTGTCAACTCTGACAACTTCATATAGTCCCCGGAGGGGCACACAACCCCAGCACAGCCCACAGGCCCCTAATGGCACAGAAGGACCCACAGTACACCTCACCCACTCCCTACAACATCCCTCCAGGGTTAACCATGGCAGGTCCTCTCGTTCCAGTTACTTTCCTTTTTGCTGGGAGAAGGATGGATAATCTAGAAGGTTCCCAGCCCCTTGGGTACCCACTGTGGGAGCAGGTGGATGGAGGCATGTTGAAGAGACCAAGTTACTTCCCCGGGCTCCCCCTTCTCCCTTTTAGAGACAGAGTTTCGCTCTTGTTGCCGAGGCTGGAGTGCAATGGTGCGATCTCGGCTCCCCGCAACCTCCATCTCCTGGGTTCAAGCAATTCTCCTGCCCCAGCCTCCCGAGTAGCTGGGACTACAGGTGTGTACCACCACGCCCGGCTAACTTCTTTATTTTTAGTAGAGATGGGGTTTTGCCACACTGGCCAGCCTGTTCTTGAACTCCTGACCTCAGGTGATCTGCCCATCTCAGCCTCCCAAAGTGTTGGGATTACAGGCATGAGCCACGGACTGTCCATGGCCCAGCCACCTGTTCTCGTAAACTCTTCGTTTCACACCCCGGGACGCCTCATCCCATGTGATAACCCCCACCACCCCCAGTTTTTGGTTTCATTAGGCCACCAGCTCAACATTTTTAAAAGCATCTCGCAAATGCGTGCCCTCCTCTGCATCCCACTGCCACGACATTCACTCAGACCTCTACTCTTCCTCTTCCTGGCCTCCCTGACTCCAGTACCTGCTGTCATTATTCTCCACCCCCCACCGCAAGAAAGAGACCTCTAAATTATACATCTGATGACAGCAGTCCTGCTCACTGTGCCCCAGAGCCACCATGACCACGTGCAAACGCCTCTGCTGGCCCTCCAAGGCTCTGACAGTATGATTTCTGCTATGTGGCCATCCTGCGATTAAAGTGAAAAGGTCCCGTGATAAGCTGTTTACAACAGATGCACTCTCTGTGCAGAGACTCAGAGAGATTGAAAATCAATGGATGGAAGAGACACATCCTACCAACACCAGTGATAAGAGAGCTGGTGCAGCTGTCGTGGTTACGGGAGTATCAGAAAAATCCGACTTTGTCCGGGTGAGGTGGCTCATGCCTGCAATCCCAGCACTTTGGGAGGCCGAGGCGGGTGGATCACAAGGTCAAGAGATCGAGACCATCCTGATCAACATGGTGAAACCCCGTCTCTACTAAAAATACAAAAAAATTAGCTGGGCATGGTGGCGCGTGCCTGTAATCCCAGCTACTCGGGAGGCTGAGGCAGGAGAATTGCCTGAACCCGGGAGGCGGAGGTTGCGGTGAGCCGAGATCGCGCCATTGCACTCCAGCCTGGATAACAAGAGCGAAACTCCGTCTCAAAAAAAAAATGAAACGAAACACAAAGCCACGCGAGGTGCCTTCCCCTCACCAACTCTGGGCACGGAGTGGCTTCCTGTTTACGTCTTTGCAGATGTTTGTTGCTCTGGATGAGTTTACAATTCATTAAATTGCAACCTCTGCTCTTTACAGACTAGGAGGACGCTGCCCGTGGGCTTCTGGGAGCACCTGGACAACGCTTTGACAAGTGCGTAATTTATTTCTCAAAACACTAGCAGGCCCTCCTGTTCCAATTTTTTTTTTTTTTTTTTTTTTTGAGATGGAGTTTCGCTCTTGTTACCCAGGCTGGAGTGCAATGGCGCGATCTCGGCTCACCGCAACCTCCGCCTCCTGGGTTCAGGCAATTCTTCTGCCTCAGCCTCCTGAGTAGCTGGGATTACAGGTGCGCACCACCATGCCCAGCTAATTTTTTGTATTTTTAGTAGAGACGGGGTTTCACCACGTTGACCAGGATGGTCTCGATCTCATGACCTCGTGATCCACCCGCCTCGGCCTCCCAATTTTTTTTTTTGCATTTTTTTTGGGGTTTTTTTTTTTTTTGAGACCGGTTCTCACTCTGTCACCCAGGCTGGAGTGCAGTGGTGTGATCTTGGCTCACTGAAACCTCTGCCGCCTGAGCTGAAGCAATCTTCCCACGTCAGCTTCCCAAGGAGCTGGAACTACAGGCATGCACCACCAACCATGCCTGGCTTGATTCTTACACCTTTTTGTAGAGATGTTGCCCAGGCTGGTCTCGAACTCCTGGGCTGAAGCAATCTGACCCCTTTGGACTCCCAAAGGGCTGGGATTACCTGTGCCACCGCACCTGGCTCCAGTTAGTTGTCAATCTTGCCAAGCCGCAGTGAGGCAGCCCCTGAGGAGCACACTTCAACCCAAAGTTGCCGAGAAGGCTGGCACTGCCCATGGTCCTGGGGACTGCCCTGCTGGGGCCCTACCTGCCACCTGTAGAATGCCATGTCTGGCCACATCGTAGAACGGGTGACTCGTGCTCAGCATGGGGTCCTGGCCAGCCATGGGCACCACCGAGGGCCTCCTCCTCCCGGCAGCCAGCACAGAAGCCACTGCCTCGTCTCTGCAGCTCTGCGGCAGACAAGAAACATGAAAGGAAGTCAGTGCATTCTCCAGTAAGGAGGGGAGGGAGGGAGCCTCCCGATGCCCTTTCACAAGGAAGCCGCCCACCTCTGCTGCACACGCATCATACCTGTACCTCAGCCACACAGCCACTATGCGCTCTACCTCAGCCGCGCACCCACTATGCGTCCCCTCCGCCGCGCACCCACTATGCGTCCCCTCCGCCGCACACCCACTATGCGTCCCCTCCGCCGCACACCCACTATGCGTCCCCTCCGCCGCGCACCCACTGTGTCCCCTCAGCTGCGCACCCACTATGTACTCTACCTCAGCTGTGCACCCACTAAGCATTCTCTCTCGATTGTGTACCCACTATGTGCCCATCCAGTATCCTGCACCATGGAGGGAGGAAAAAAAGATCTAAGGGTCAGATACTGTCCAGTGATAGGAGTGGCAACTAAGGCTCAGACAGGGAGAGTGACTTGCTAAGTGACAGCAGGGTGCGGACTAAACCTTGAACCTGCAGTTCCAAATCCCAACCCAGGCCCTCCATGAAAGACCCTGACACTGGCAGCCAGCGGGAAGCCAGCGCTGCCCAAAGCACCAGGGTGGGCAGGGGTCGAGGGCAGGCACCGGGGTCACTGCCATGAGGAAGAAAGAAAAGGGGCCGGGCACGGTGGCTCACGCCTGTAATCCCAGCACTTTGGGAGGCTGAGGTGGGTGGATCATGAGATCAAGAGATTGAGAACATCCTGGTCAACATGGTGAAACCCCGTCTCTACTAAAAAAATACAAAAATTATCTGGGCATGGTGGTGCGCGCCTGTAGTCCCAGCTACTCGGGAGGCTGAGGCAGAATTGCCTGAACCCAGGAGGCGGACGTTGCGGTGAGCTGAGATCGCGCCATTGCACTCCAGTCTGGGTAACAACAGTCCGTCTCAAAAACACAAAAAAAAAAGAAAAGGCTGCCTTTCTAAGTAGAATCTTAGCAGGGAAGGTTCTTATGCAGAACAAATCAGGGTTTTTAAGAGAAATGTTTTCAGCTACAAAAATGAATGGGAATTTTGAGTTTTGAGGTTAGACACAGGACCCCCAGATGTGGGGAGGCTGAAGAATATCCCTCCAAATATTCCTCTTGGAGCTCAGAATGTGACCTTATTTGGAAATTGGCAGGTCTTTAGAGATGTAATTAGTTAAGATGAGGTCAACTGGATCAGGGTGGGCACCGAATCCAACGACTCAGGAGACAAGGAGAGGGCGTGAGAGGATGGAGGCAGAGACTGGCGGGATGCGGCTGCAAGCCAAGGACACCAGGAACCACCAGAAGACACAGAAAGGGCCCTCCCCTGGAGTCTTCAGGGAAGTGCAGCTCAGTAGACACCTTGACTTTGGACTTGTGGCCTCCAGAACTGAGAAAGTGACCTGCTGTCTTAAGCCACCGGGTTGTAGCACTTGGCTGGTGGCCGAAGAAGATGGGTAGAATCAGGTCCTATGGAGTTAGGAGGCCCAGGGCATGATGGGGCCGGTGAGGGTGCCCAGGAGGAAGCACTGGCTTTTCTAAATATTTCTGAAGGTGACTTTGATGCAAAGCCAGGTTTGAGAGTCGCTCATCCAGACCAACACCCCATTGAGAAGGGAGTGTGAGGCGGGGCCCGAGGGCTGCCCCACGCGGTCTGGAAGCTGCCTCCTTACCCACCCAGTCCCGGTCCTTGGGGTATTTACCTGGTATTTACTCAGCACTACTCTGCGGGCATGGGGTGGGGGATAGGGCCAAGAACCCTGCTCATCAACAGGTGTGAGTGTCCCTGTGTGGGGTGAGTAGGGGGTGCCACAGAACGCCCCTCCTCCTTCCAGTCAACAAATATGCACTGAGTACCTACTATGTGCCAAGAACACTTTCAGACAGTGAGGACCTGAAAGCAACAGAGGCAAAGCCCCTGTGTGGGGCAGAACAGAGGCCTCCCAGCGACGTCCACATCCTACTCCTGGGAACCCGTGCATGTGACCGTCGGTGGCGAAAGGGATTCTGTGGGTGTGATTAAGGATCTTGAGGCCAGGCGTGGCGGCTCACGCCTGTAATCCCAGCACTTTGGGAGGCTGAGGCAAGCAAATCGTGATGTCGGGAGTTCAAGACCATCCTGGCCAATATGGTGAAACCCCGTCCCTAATAAAAATACAAAAATTAGCCAGGTATGGTGGCATGTGCCTGTAGTCCCAGCTACTCTCAAGGGTGAGGCAGAATAGCTTGAACCCTGGAGTGGAGGTTGCAATGATTCGAGATGGCACCATTGCACTCAAGCCTGGGTGACAGAGCAAGAATGTGTCTCAAAAAAAAAAAGGAATCTTGAGATAAGTGGATTGTCACGGATTCCAGTTGGGCCCAAAGTACAGTTGTCTCTCAGTATTCTGGAGGGACTGGTTCCAGGACCCCCCTCAGGGATACCAACATCTTTGGATGCTCTACTCTCTAATAGAAAATGGCATGGTGTTTGCACAGAACCTACACACATTTCCCGTATTCAAATCACCTCTAGATTACCGATAATACCAAATACAATGTAAATGCTATGTAAACAATTTTTATACTGTTTTTTTTTTTTTTTTTTTTTTTTTTTTGAGACCGAGTCTCACTCTGTTGCCCAGGCCGGAGTGCAATGGCATGATCCTGGCTCACTGCAATCTCCATCCCTCAGGTTCAAGCGATACTCCTGCCTCAGCCTCCTGAGTAGCTGGGACCACAGGCACGCACCACCATGCCAAACTAATTTTTTTATATTTTCAGTAGAGATGGCCAGGCTGGTCTCGAACTCCTGACCTCAAGTGATTTCCCCACTCAGCCTCCCAAAGTGCTGGGATTACAGGCATGAACCACCACACCCAGCCTGAAAGTAGCTAATTTAACATTACATGAATTTCACTCCTATTAAAAAAAGAAGGGCCAGACGCGGTGCTGTGCACCTGTAATCCCAGCTACTCAGGAGGCTGAGGTGCGAGGATCGACTGAGCCCAGGAGGTCGGGGCTGCAGTGAGTCAATTTCACATCACCGCATTCCAGCCGAGGCAACAGGGCAAGATCCTGTCTCTAAAAATAAAATAAATACACAATTTTAAAATGAAAAAAAAAAAAAAAAGCTACAGTACATGGGAAACACACAATGGTAAGGAAACAGGATGAGGCAGGTCGAGGGGCCCCACCTATCTAAACGCAGCCCACACTTGAACCTCATGCTGCAATCCCCTGGATCTGCATTACTATCACGCTGCCACAGCAACCCAAGCGAGAAACGGGTTCCTGTCGCCGCCCGCCTTCAGCACTAAGGAGAGTTAACCAGAAGGCAAGATCATGAGAGCCTGGAGGCAAAGCAACCAGCGTGTGTAAAACTCCGCCAAGACTTCCCGCATCTGGGTGCGACATGCCGACGCTAGACGCAGAACGGAAAATGATTTATCCCAGAGCCACGGGTCTGCATGCAGGAGGTTCTTAAGATCTCCTCTGGTTATTTCAAACCCAGAAGAGAAGGCCGGGTGTGTTGGCTCATGCGTGTAATCCCAGCACTCTGGGAGGCCGAGGCGGGTGGATCACCTGAGGTCAGGAGATGGAGACCAGCCTGACCAACACGGTGAAACCCCATCTCTGCTAAAAATACAAGAATTAGCCAGGTGTGGTGGTGCGTGCCTGTAATTCTGGCTACTTCATAGGCTGAGGCAGGCAGGGGAATCTCTTGAAACCAGGAGGCGGAGACTGCAGTGAGTGGAGATCACAGCACCGCACTCCAGCCCCAGCAACAGAGCGAGACTCCATCTCAGACAGACAGACAGACAACCCAGAAGAGAAATCGGCCGGTGGCCCCTAGCAGTGCACGTGATAGTGACAGGCACTACCCTTCACTTGGACACACGTGCACGGGAGTCCCTGGAGCCCAGCACATATCCGGAAGTGAGGCTCTCCTCCTAGCTTGGCCCTTGTCAACCGGTTCCCTGCAGCATTCTCTTCAGTACCTCTGAACCTCAGTTTATTTTTCTGTAAAATGGGACACAGAACCTAGCACCTTATAGGGCAGCTCTACCGTGAATCAGGGTGTTGTCTCAATAAAGCCTCACGACCAGGGAGAATGACCCTCATCCCCAGGGCTTTATTTAAATCTGCAAAGATAAAGTGGTGACTAATGGCAGTGGCCAGTGGTGGGAGTGAGGACAGGGCCTGAGGATGCGTGGAAGGATTTCACTGACTACCTTCTCTTTTTTTTTTGTATTTTTATTTTATTTTATTTGAGATGAAGTCTCGCTCTGTCGCCCAGGCTAGAGTGCAGTGAAGTGATTGGAGCTCACTGCAACCTCCGCCTCCCAGGTTCAAGCGATTCTCCTGCCTCAGCCTCCTGAGTAACCAGGATTACAGGTGCCTGCCACCATGCCCGGCTAATTTTTTGTATTTTTTTTTTTTTTTTTTTTTTTTTTTGAGACGGAGTTTCGCTCTTGTTACCCAGGCTGGAGTGCAATGGCGCGATCTCGGCTCACCGCAACCTCCGCCTCCTGGGTTCAGGCAATTCTCCTGCCTCAGCCTCCCGCAGCTGGGATTACAGGCACGTACCACCGTGCCCAGCTAATTTTTTGTATTTTTAGTAGAGACAGGATTTCACCACGTTGGTCAGGCTGGTCTCAAACTCCTGACCTTAGGTGATCCACCCGCCTCGGCCTCCCACAGTGCCGAGATTACAGGTGTGAGCCATCGAGCCCAACCTCATGACTATACATTAATGAGGGTTACAGAAGCCTCTAGAAGTAACTTGTACTTTTGACATCTTCAGGGGATGGGAAATTCCTTGAAGTTTTAGACTACAACTCGGTGGCTGGGACCTGAAATCTGGAGGTGACCCACCTGTTTCTGACTTACTCACCTGGGAGCAGGACTCACTCCATGAGCCAGAACCAGGCAGGCTACTGGTTTCTGGAGAGGCAAAGCCAGAATTGAAACATAGTGACCGAAGGAGTCCTTTTATTCCCAAGGAAGCT